AACATCAATTTGGGACACAAGATAAAATTAGAGGGGTGCGGAAATCAGTTTAATTGAATTTTTTTATTTATTTTTGAAAAATAATGTGAATAAATAAATATATTAATTAATTAGTTAGTATAACAAAGTTTAATTAACATACTATTCGCCACTAATTTACCATTATAATATCCTGGCCCACGTCCATAATTTGTGCCTAATGATTTAAATTCAGAATTCGTATAATTTGATTCCTAATTATTTAAACCTAGAATATATATATATACCTACCCTAAGCTTGTAATAACTATCCTAATGATACATTTAATTTATATAAATTCTGAAGAATTCCTATATATAAATACATAACTTATATATGGTATATTGACAAATGAATTATCCATAGCAAACAATTAAGCAAATTGTAACTAAGGAGACTCATATTAAGTTTAATTTTATGAAATTTCCTTTTTATTTATTGGTATTGAATTATTGGGTTGACAGTTTTCAAAAGATTTTGTAATAAGTAATAATTCGGTTATCGATTTCATTTTTAATTTAAATTAATAATTTAGCCAATAGTACAATAAAGTTACTTTATTCTTAATTATCTAAATCAACCTATACGTACCTAGTTAAAACCTTAAACCTCAAATATAAAATCCAAATAAATTTCTTCCCCCACAACACGCACACACATATTTACTAAAGACTTTATTAGTGTGTAAATAAGATTTGTGTAGATCTGAATCTATAAAAGTCAATAAAAGTACTAATTAATCTTAAATAATTAATCATGGTTTAAGGAAAATAATGTCACAGTATTTAAGCAGGATCCTGACTTAACGATGCAGCAATTACTCCTTTAAGTACTAAAGGTAAATAGTAAATGAAACTTCTACGACTTTGTTAATCAATGATATAGTTGTAATGGAAACATAATTTGAGGGACCACATAATTGGTCTGCTAAGTTACAATCAAGCAATACATATTATATCCGGTCTATTTAGTTCTCGCGGTACAGAGTCATTTTTATTATAGAATATTTTTTCTTTTTAATGTAAAATTTTTTGGTTTGAATTTAAATTTAATAGACCTCTAATACGAATATCAAACATTGCGTGGAAAATCAAAAAATAAAAAACTCTTTTACAAGTCGTTTAGGTATGTTGTTGGTGACAAAGTGAATTATTTATGTATTAATTAAATTAGTATTATGTTAGGTAACATTTTAGCTATTATTTGTAAAATTCAGCACATAAAATTTATGTTTTATTACTAAATTAATTACAATCCATTATAATTAATAAATAAGTATATGTTAGGAGAGAATAGAGAATATATGTATTATTTTATAGGAGTCGAAAATGAAATAAGCATATGATACCTAAATCTTACCTAAGTTTGTGTATAATTAATTATTGCAACCAGATTTTGAGTTGCTATTAATCACAAGGGTAAAATATTACCTTTTTATCTTACTCCCAAATCAATAATAATTATAAAGAGCTGTTTTAGAAATATGTATAGATCATTTATTAAAATAACAATAATAATAACAATATACTCAGTGATGTATTGGCGAATTTATAAGAAAAATATTGGGCATGTGTTGTAGTCTCTTAGTAAAATCAAGTATTTCATGTATATACATTTTAAAATTGTGTGTTGACACTATGCTAAAAGAAAACTAAAGACTAATTCCCGCTAAATACACTCATGTTCTAGAAATGTCAAAATTTTCATCGCAATGATGAAATATTACAAGTGAAATCAGAAAAAAAATATATATATACATACATTAACTTAACCACTGAGAATAGAAAAAATATTTTCAATAGGCATTGTCCTAAAAAAAGCATTTTAAGACAAATACATTTTAAGATCGACTTAGTTAAACATAAAAAGTTTGAAGCACAATAATATATGTGTAATGCTTTAGTATTGTTGAGAATTCAACCCTTTATAAGTATGTTAAGATTACTATCTTATGTGTCATTTGCTTATCCCGATTGTTTCTACGTATATAAATTATCTATCTTCAAATATATAATAATATTTTGAATCTAATGAATTGATTGAGATTCTTTCATTCTTGATAAGAAGTTAGCCTGTTTAGAACGATGCCAATCCTCTCGATCAAAATTATGGAAAAATCCTAATAAAAGGACAATATCTCAAGAGTTGAGAAAGAAGTCAACTGTCAAGGATTTGCATTACTGTCCTTGTCTCCCTCTTATACATACAAAAAAAATAAAATTGTATCATATGGTAATTAAAATATGGTAACGTATTTATCTACACATTCTTCTGTTTTTGTACATATAATATAAAACATTCCCCAAAAATCCTTGACTCACATACTCACGTTGTCACCAACACCAAGCACTAAGCTCCCCACTTGAGTGTGGTCCTACTTGCTTTATTTTGGTGCACCCCCTTCTATTTGACTTCCAATTTTATTTTATTAAAAAAAAAAAAAAAAAACTTCCCTCACCACCGGCATTTCCAATGAAAATAAATGTGAAGTTGTAATCAATTAATACTCTTATCTATATTTCATAAAGTATTGTTCGTGTAAGCTTGTCCACTTACTTGTGAGCTTCAACGTTTAATCAAAGGTTTTGTGTTTGAGTTCATTTAGGCATAACGTTACTTTTATTAGAGGATGATTTATCTTAAATATAAAATTTGCTAATCAGAGTCGAGATATAGTTGAATGTCAGTGTAGATACCAGATCGTAAGTGGAAGAAAACTTGCATGGTCAAGTAGGGGAGGGATGCATGTTGTGGCAATGATATTGAAGCAAATTAAACACACATGAATATTTAAAACTAGGAGACGGATGTTTCAGCAAAAGGACATATTGACATGGGAAAAAATATAGTATAGTTTTAAAATTTGTTTTTTTTTTTATAACAAACTAAGATTTCAACTTAAATTATCATGAGAATTTTGGGGTTCTTACTAAGAATACTTTTATAAGGGTATAGTCACCGAATAGTGACGTACACAATAATTTTCAAATATTTGAAAAAAGTAATAAGAAGAATAATTAAAGACAAAATTTGTGATATTATTATTAAAGAACTTTGAACTAATTTTTATTTCTAAGGATATATTCATGGCAACATTACTTTTTAAAAATATAATAATAAGGGATTATTCTTTCACTCATTAAAACATGAAAATAGGTGTTACGCTTACATTAAACAAATAATTAAGTTATATAAATTGAAACAAACTTAGCACCTACTAAATCCAAATCTATCTAATTTCTATTAACAGTCTCTTTCATTATGATGCACAGTCAAACAAGGTTAGGTTATAATTTCTAATATCTTTCCTTTTTGCCTAACCCTCGTGTATTTTATTTACTCCATTCATCTTTATTTTCACGATATATATGTATATATCGATTAAAAATAAATTTATTTAATTATTTATACCAAAATTCCGCTGGATCCTTTCAAAGTCTTTATTCTCTCTATATATGCGTGTTATGTGTGTTGTTACTAAAAATAATATAAATATCATTTTATAATAATTTGCAAATATATTGTTACGTATACAATAGTATTTAAACAACGTAAAGCAACAAGAGAGAGTTGTTTGAGTTAGAAACTAGTACCCCAAAAAACCACATGCATTCACTCTCTAACACGTGTATGTTGTCCCTTTGTATAGCCATCTTCCACCATTTACTCAAATGGAAAAAATAATTTCTCTCTTTACTTTAATTTATTTTCGATTCGAATAATGTATTTATCTACTTTAATTTGTTTTTGATTTAAATAATGTATTTATCTACTTTAAATATCCCACATTTAATATTAAAGATAATAAAAGTGATTACGGGCAAGGAGAATCTTGTGAAAAGTTAAAAATGTTATATAGTATTATGGGTGAGAACCAATATGCTATTCACTTTTTAACTTACTAAAGTGATTGGGACACAAATAACGAATCCATTTGTAGTCAAAAGATTCAATTATCTAATTGAATTAAAATATAGTTAAGCTAATGTTAATTAGATACCATGTTAGCGATAAATATCATTACTTAAATCCATCGTACGGATGAAAAGGATTTTCAATGAAAGTATTAATTTATTTCTGGTGAAAAATGTGGAAAATCCCTTTTTTTGAATTATTTTACAGAATTAAAATAAATAATAAAATATAAGATTGAGATACTCATAAATTATAATTAAAGAAAAGAAGTTTAGTACATAATTAGTACCTGTAGTTTTTACACTTAAAACTTTCTTTAATAAAATATATTTTCACTAATGAGAAACATTTTCTTTAACATTTCAAAGTAGCCAAAAGCAGAAAATTACATTATCAGTAAAAAAAAAATTAAACATTTAACAGGATTCTAAGTTGTATAATGTTTTCGATTATATTTTAACAAATTTTGCTTCAAATCAAATAAAGAAGGTTTATTTTCCCACCTAATTCGTAATCAAACAAACTATTCTCTTTCTTGAAATATTAGACTCTTTTTCTGATTAAACTTCTATTAATGGAATGAATAAATCATCCTTTCCAATTTCTTTAGTTGTCATGTCAATAAAAGGAACATTAAACCCCAATTATAATGAGTTTAATTATCAACATTGCAACATCCCTAACCACCTATTGTAATAGAATTTTTTTTCTACTTATATGTATAAGTTACGTGAGAATCTATATATTGTTTTATACATGATAGAAAGTAGAATAACAAATCCTTGCATAAGTAATATCAGAGTTACTCATAACTAATCTTTACATTACTAAATATCTGCGCATTCAAATACCTATCTCCTGAAAGATAATTTCTCGTACTCAACACCGCACTTTTCAATAATAAGAACTTTTTAGAAAGAAAAAAAAACGAAACGTTTTCGAAAATAAGCTTTTAGTCGGAATCCAATACGGATAGGGAAAATTTTCTTTTAAAAAGCAGTATAGTTTTTGGAAGAGAGCCAAGTGTGACCAAAAAACTTTCTCTATATAAAGCCCTCTCTGATTCATCAACCCCCACACCAGAAAATCAGTTTCCCTCTGATAACAACTCTTGGCTAAAGCCATCCTATACTCTTTTTCTCTTTAGTCATTACATTATTAACAATGCCTGAGGCACCAAAGAATTCCCCTATTGTTGCTGAAGAAAACAAGAAAACTCTTCATTTCATTGAAGATGTTACCACCAAAGCTGATGAGATCCAAAAGAGAGTCCTTGCTGAAATACTTTGTCGAAATGCCAACGTTGAGTACTTGAAGCGCTATGCTGATCTTAATGGCAATACTGATAGAGAGACTTTCAAAAAAGTTATGCCTGTTATCAGTTATGAAGATATTCAGCATGATATCAACCGCATTGCGAGTGGTGATACATCTCCTATCTTGTGCTCCCAACCTGTCTCTGAATTCTTGACAAGGTTGGAATGTTGTTAATTTTTACATACTTTTTGTTTTTACGATATTTTCCATTACGGTAAATGTAAATGAGATTTTTTTTTTGTAATACGCAGTTCTGGTACGTCAGGAGGGGAGAGGAAATTGATGCCAACAACAGAGGAAGAGCTTGGAAGACGATCGTTGCTTTATAGTCTTCTGATGCCTGTGATGAGTCATTTTGTCCCAGATTTGGAGACGGGCAAAGGAATGTACTTTCTGTTTGTAAAATCTGAATCTAAGACCCCGGGAGGCCTATTAGCTCGTCCTGTTTTAACAAGTTATTACAATAGCCCTCATTTTAAAAACAGACGTCCTGACCCTTACACAAACTACACTAGCCCAAATGAAACTATTCTCTGCCCTGATTCATACCAGAGCATGTATTCCCAAATGCTCTGTGGACTCAGCCAAAATGCACAAGTCCTTCGTGTTGGCGCGGTTTTTGCCTCTGGCTTCATCCGCGCCATCCGCTTCTTAGAGAAGCACTGGTCCCTTCTTTGTACTGATATTCGATCCGGTATCATGAATACTGAATTGATTACTGATTCCTCAGTAAGAGAGGCTGTGATGAAAATACTTAAACCAGATCCCGATTTGGCTGATTTTATTGAGGCTGAATGTAGCAAGAAATCATGGCAAGGGATTATTACTAGGCTGTGGCCTAATACTAAGTATGTTGATGTTATTGTGACTGGAACCATGTCGCAATATATACCAACTCTTGATTATTATAGCAATGGACTACCTCTTGTTTGCACTATGTATGCTTCCTCTGAATGCTATTTTGGTGTCAATCTTAACCCCCTTTGCAAGCCTGAAGATGTCGCCTACACCCTTATACCGACTATGTGTTACTTTGAGTTCTTGCCAATTCATAGGAATAATGGTGTCATGGATTCTATCGCCGCGCCCAAATCACTCAATGAGAATGAACAACAAACATTGGTGGATTTAGTTGATGTCAAGATTGGTCAGGAGTATGAGCTTGTTGTCACCACATATGCTGGTAAATATATGTGATGCTACTTTATTTTGTTGCACATTTTAGCAAACCAGAGTTTAATTAATATGGATTGTCGATTTCAGGACTCTATCGATACAGGGTTGGTGATGTGCTACGAGTTGCTGGATTCAAAAACAAGGCGCCTCAATTCAACTTCATTTGCAGGAAAAACGTAGTTTTGAGCATTGATTCTGACAAGACTGATGAAGTTGAGCTACAAAATGCCATGAAAAATGCAGTGAGCCACTTGATGCCATTTGATGCTCATGTCACAGAGTACACTAGCTACGCGGACACAACCATAATTCCAGGCCACTACGTCTTATTCTGGGAAGTCAACGTGAATGGCTCAACCCCGGTCCACCCATCTGTCTTTGAAGACTGTTGTCTCACAATTGAAGAGTCCTTAAACAGCGTCTATCGCCAAGGCCGTGCCTCTGACAAATCTATAGGCCCTCTTGAAATCAGGATTGTGGAAGTTGGTACATTTGATAAGCTCATGGACTATGCCATAAGCTTAGGTGCTTCAATAAATCAGTACAAGACACCGCGGTGTGTGAAATTTGCACCCATTATTGAACTACTGAATTCACGAGTCATGTCCAAATACTTTAGCCCTAAATGCCCAAAATGGACTCCTGGACACAAGCAATGGAACAACATGAACTGACTGGCTAGCTAATTTCTCTGCTGACAGCTTCATCATAAGTCCAAGAAAGAACAAAATTAAAGTGAACATGTATCATTTGGGATCAATTTTAGTATTAGTCATTATATTAATTAAGAAAACATCCTACCTAGGCTAATTTTGTTCACTTCCCTCAAAACCACCACAAATTTTGTGTGTGTGTTGTTACTTTTCCTTAATTAAAATCTCTTCTTGGAATTTTCATCTCTTTTCGTAAAAATTCTATCCCTACTTTAAAGAATTGCAAATTGCAAATGGATTACATTTAATGGGAATAGTTTTCTTATTTCCAGAAGAAAAATGTTGTCCACTGAACTATCTATCTTGAACCAACTACAAGTAATAGTTGTTGGTTGGGCCGGAGCTACATAGAGCCAAGATGATACATTGTTTATATATATGTTGAATTGGTAAAGTTGCTATCATGTGACCGGATTGAATTGATAAGTCTTGAAAATAGTCTCTGACAGAAATGCAATGTAAAATTGCATACAATATGCCCTTATGGCCTAGCCCTTTCCCAGACCTTGTGCATAGCAGAAATTTTAATGTACCGGAATGTCTCTTTTAATATATATATGTTGAACCGCTAATTGCTTATTTGTGTGTTGATTTTTGAAATGAAAAATTCTGACTCCACCGTTAGTTGCTGGTAGCATTATTTTCAAGAAAAAGTGGACTTACTTTAGGTATATTTTAGTTTATCAGTGACTTAATTAATTAAGTAATCTTAATCCTCGTGGAATTAACTAAACTTAAAGACCTAAAGCTTTACAAAACGCCAGTCGATTTCTCCCGTAAAGTAGTTTGGTCGACAAAAAGCTTTTACTTAGGAAATGACGGACCTACACTTTATAGTGAGATTGTTGACTAATTAAAAAACTTTTCCCCCATTACTTATTTTTCACGGATTATTAGTATTATGTTTGACATAATCGATAAAGTTATTACTATATAATTAATAACTCATGAGTTTGAATTATAAAAGTATTTTTTTATGAAATACATGATAAGATTGAGTTTCTGTCCTTTCTTGAATCATATTGAAAGTTTAATGTATTAAATTAGCGAGTAGTTTATCTTTATTGAATGAACAAATACATAACTTCTCTTTTTTAACCAATAATAATTGCTCATGCCCAACTAGAGCAAATATGAAGCCCAAACATGAATGAAACTTCATTAACTCAATCCAAAAAGTTAGATCAAGAGAGAAAGATTGTCCAAATTCATTTAAGGAATCCTTTTCTCTAAAACTAACTTACGTAGAAGGATTGCCCTAATCATTATAAACAAACCACTAATCTATTTTTTAATCAGTGTGGGACATTTACCCACTCTAACACTGCAACTTCAAGCTCCATAAATGTATTTTGTCTTTTTTTTTCCGCAAGTAGTATATATTCAAGGACTCCTTATTTATTAAACTATTCTTTTTAATTATTAACTTATCTAATAATCTTACCACATATTTTTCGCCTTATTAATCATCAAGTTCCTAGTATCCTTTACCATATAATTTCCTTTTACCATATATTTTATGCTTTTTACATATGATAGATTATTATTTAGATATAGCTATGAAAAAACTATGAAGTTGAGAATTAGTAAAATCTGTAATACAGACCACATAATTCTCCGGAGTAGAAACAAGAAAATTAAATCTATTTCTTTATTTTTTCTTCTGTCTTGTAAGTTAAATATTTCCACACAAACATTCAAAATTATATGACTCTAAATCTTACTTTATATTATAATAAATAAACGAACTAGGTATTATAGTTATTCTACTATGCAAGAAGAATTTCGGAGAAAGGATTTGACACACAGACTTATAATAAATATTTTTATTTTTTATGATAACGAGTTCTCGACTAATAAAAGAATTTCATTAATTCTATAAATAATCAAAATATTACCATTAATATTTGTATAGAATAAAATTAATTTAAAGTTATTCAAGCTAAAGAGAAAGAGGGAGGATGTATATAATATAAAAAAAAAGATTCAACAATATTCTAAATTGTACTCGTATCAATATTGAATGAACAACAAGACAATTTTTCAAGAAAACAAAATAACTTCAACATATCAATAAAGCAAACAACATGATAATAAAGATAGATTAACGATATGAAATATAAAAATACTAAATGTGCAACTAACATAATTTGCACTTATTGATGAAAAAAAAACATTATTACTCACTAACTTAAAATCTTGAATCTGTCTCAATCTATTTTGCAGCACTAGTAACAGAATCGTCTTGAGAAATCAGAGTCTCGGGATTGACGATACTCACTTATCACCATCGCCATTATTGCTATTATCATCATTGTTATTGTTATTACCTGGAAGTTGAAAAAACAGGTAAAAATGTGATCCATCTGTTACCCCATAATCCACAAGGGAAATTTCGTCGTCATTCAACATGATAGAATCTCCATGTCCCGTATCCAACATGAGAATCAAATGATTCTCTGGAAGATTTTCTTGATTACTTATTTCTTTTTTCAAATCCGCCACAGATGCATCTTTGGCTACTCGAATGTGAAATAGTGTACCTGTTAATATTTGTATCACTAAATTCATTTTCTTTCAAAGGGGGTTGGATATTCAGCTTCAGAACAAAAACGGTTAAAGCACCTTATTAAAACAACGTGTCCACAACAATGTGAGCCATATTTTTCATACACTCAAGAAAAAAAAATAGAGAACATTTCTTTTTGTGGGAGAAGAAATTATGATTGAGCAAGTTACATAAGGACTATTGGTTTATTTATAGATGCCTAATATTAATGTTAATACCATAATTTTATTCACAACAAGGAAGTGTAAATACCATATAATTAAGTGAATTATTTATTCATGTGATTTTTGAAATCACAAGTCTAAGGACTAGATTTGGTTTTAAATGAATTATTTATGTATTTTCCTAAAATGCTTAAGTCTAATTATGATATTTAAAATTATAATTCGAATTCTTTTTTGGTTCTAGGTGATTTATTGACCAGATTTGTTTCTAATTGAATTATTTATGTATTTTCCTAAAATGCTTAAAGTCTAATTATGATTTTTGAAATTATAATTCGAAAAACAGATTTGATTCTAGATAGAATTACTATTTAACTATCTATTTGCCTATTTATATAATTATAAAAGAATGAATATTTATATTGAATAACTTTTATATCTACGTGCTCTAAACATATTTCTAATTAAACATACTAAAATATTCTTTAAATATTGAATGTCTTTTATACCCTTAATAAGCTCTTATCCTATTATCTTATTAAGCATACTTCTTTAATACAAAACTTATTTAATATACATAACAAATATTATTTTTGACAACTTCAAAAATATCAGTTACAAAAAAATCGAATTCTTGGTGCATTACACCAATTGTGGAGAACATGATTGATCACGACATATATATATATATGGATCGGAGATTTGAGACGTTTATTTCTTAGTAAGATATATAGTATGAGGTACTCGATCGATCATTGTTTTACAAATATGTATCAGAGACATTCGATCATTGAACTTGAAGGGGTGAATATATATATATTTGCTCAACATGTTGGTTTCACACGAGCATTTATGTATTCCAAGTGAAAATATAGAAATGAATGAAAAGGATAACAAACAAACATTTTTATTCAATAGATATACTTCACTCAATACAAATATAGAATTAATGCAAACATCATCAATTATTAGGAGGTAGTAATAAAATGATGTGTTATTTATTTGATGATCTTACTCTTCGATAGATATAACAGGATCAAGTTTAATAGGACAACGAATCCCAGGCGATTCAATAATATTAATTAAATCATCCGCTTGACCTTCCAAATAAGCCTTGAAAAAAGCCACAAAAAGTCCTCCTATAGTCCTTCTTAGATCGTGCTTTGTTTCCTTTTTCCCTTTTTTCTTCATAATTCCCATTATTTTTTCCCCTTCATCCAGCATATCAGTATGCCCATAATTCTTGGCCAAAAAATAGTAACAAGGGGGTTTACTCTCGTTGAAAAACTCAGCATGATTCACCCCGTTTGGTGCATCGGGTGGACACACACCATAGGCTCGTCTATTAGACAAGCCGGTACCAATTACAGCTACAGGGACTGAATGATTGAAACTGTAAGGAATATATTGGAGAATGTTGGAAGAGCAGAAACAAGAGGAGCCTTTAGCAACTGGATCGATTCCGAGGAGCGCGGAGATTTTGAGAGGGGGTTGTTTTTGTTTTCGGGTTGCCCTTCCTAAGATGTAATATGAAATTCAAATTGCGCACATATATATATGTAAGATAAAAAGGTTCAGGTACCTGAAGTGACGATGGATTCGCCCTTGCTATCTCCTGATCCATAGGCTAAAGCTAAGGCGAATGCTGTTTTACCTCCTCTGCTGTGGCCTGACACCGCGACTTTCTGGATGTCTGGAAAAACTTTCTCTGGCAGCACAGAGTTGAGCTTCTTAGCTGATAACCACTCTGCTACTTTTTTTGCTGTTTTTACTTCGCATCGAGATGTCATTAGAGAGAACTGCAAACATATTTTTTAAAAATGAATTTTGATTGATGAATGAAATACAGAGTGAGTGAGTTTGTTGCCGTATGTATACCTTAGGAGCAACGGCGATATATTGATGGGAAGAAATATGTAGGAGGAGGGACTTGTAAGAGTCGGGTTGGAGGCGGAATCCATGGAAAAATAGTAGAATGGGATAGGAACCTTCAGTAGTAGGTGAAAATACTAATAATGGACATGGCAAGGAAGAGCTCTTAACGTTGATGATCTTAACAACTTCATCTCCTACTTCGAAATCTAAGGCTATACCATCATCCCTTACCTTCTCCATCACTTCTTTTCTGCTAATCTACATGATATTTTTTTCCACTTTTATTTCCTTCTTGTGCTGAATGAGACAATAAAACTGAAACTTCTTGCTTTCTTCTTTCTTTTGTTTTCCTTTAGGGAAAAGCAAACCGTTACCTCAGCTCTCAATAATCAAACAGAGGGATGTGGTGGAGTAGAAAATACTCCTTCATTCTGCGTTTGAGTTTCCTTTTTTCGTTTCCGGTGTGGGATTTAGTTCGGATTCAATCTGGGTTGCTTCTGTAATAGAATGTTATCTCGGGCTCGTTTGAAAAAACAATCAATCACAAAAGAGAAAATGACCAAATGGTTTTCCAACCTATTATCAGATTTTCTACTACACAACTTATTTTACGCGGGAGTTCTATTACTGTCTGAACTATTTCAAATGGAATAAATAACCCCTTAAGTGTTGAGTTGGAGTAGAGAGTGAGTTGCCTATTCTTTTTCTAATTTTCTTTCTTCTTTCTCTTTCTTTCATCTTATTTATCTATACAATATTTTTCACCATTGGAAGCTTTCTCAGTGGGTGTTTGGAATAAAAATTATCAAAACAAAAAAGGGTCTAAAATACCTTTGATTATAAAAACGACAAAGGGTTTAAATAAATTTCATTTTAAAATAGCTCAGGGGTAATAGGACCTCCATGAAATATAAGTGTGTAGCTGAAAATTCGATTACAGATGAGGGTCATTCTGTCTAAACTTTGCATTCAATTATGATGATGACATGTCTTGTAATCCGAAAATTTAGAAGATTTAAACTCAAAGTAAATACTCAACTTAAATAGTTTGCAAAAACTTCTCAAGGAAAAGTAAAGACAGTAGACTCTTAAACTCTATCTATATGTGAAGTCTGTTACTCAATATGAATGTCAGAATAAGACCCACGACATCTCAAGATAACTGACTAGAAAATAAATGTGAAGACCCCTAAATGCAAGGAGGATCACTCAAGCTATTTGACTGCAAAAACAAGACTCATCAACTCTATCTATCATTTATGTTTCTTGTTCATAAATTACTCATTTATTAATGACACATTTTCTCAAGTTCAACATTTATATTTTAGCCTAACTATTACAATCCTAAGTCTTAGTCCATCAAAATAATCCATCACTTTTAGTACTCTTACCTACCATACCCCATATACCAAATTATTGGTAAAAGTCAAATATATAACATATAGGAAAGAATTGCAACATCAGCAATAAATTTTTTAATATTAAAACAAGACATTTGAAATGCTTCAATAAATATTCAAATAAAAAAATAATTCTTGCGACTCTGCAGATATTACCTAAACCAAAAACATAAACATACAACTAATATTTTATGTTATGATTATATTAATTTATATGTGGTGTCCACTGCATAAATAAAAATTCCAGCACATAACTTTTCACATTTATACTTTCCCTTCTAGATGATCTCAGGTCTTTATTTTCATGCATCTTACCTTTTTCATTATTTTTTAAATATTTTTCTATAATTCTATAAGTGAAAATATAAAATTACTTAATCGTAGACACTTGAATATATATACTTGAAAGAAAGAAAGAATATTTTTTCTTTTACCGTACATTTTTCACCAACTTTTTGTTCCATCTAATTACTTTTAAATTCATTTTATAACGCTTAAAATATTAAAGAGAATCTCATTTTTTTATATATTAAAAATTAATAAAAGAAATGAGTAGTAACTCAAGTTGGATGCCTAAAATCTTTGACCATTTTCAACTGTCCAAGCAAGTAGTAACACAAGTTAAATGAGTATCTCATGGTAAGTCATAACGCCGCCAATGATGATTTTTCATATTATTATTATTACTAATATTATATTATTGTGATTGTTGTTGTTATTATTCTTATTATTATGATTATTGTTATTGTTATTGTTATTGTTAAGTCTATACATATACTTAATTAGGTCTTAGTCTATATATTTAGTTAGTTGTCTTTGAATATAATAACATTTACAAAGATTACTAAAATGCAAGTGTTACTAGTAATTACGGTCTCTAAAAAATATATTTAGCAACAGTTAAATTCTTATCGTTAATTATTTATGATTAATGCTATTTTTATTATAGTGAATATTTAATTGTTAGATCATAACCAACTATAATTTACTAATCTAAGCAGTAAAATGTACGTGTGAGAAATGTAGTGTTTAGATTGGAAGGTTGGCAGGATCCTTTCCCACGTAAAGAAGACATATATACATAAATAATTGTAAATAGGTGAAGGAATATTTTAGTTGGTTAAGTTTGTTATAGATTAGCCAATGGCATTAGACACTTGTATGCATACAATATTTACAATTACACTTGTATAAATAGATCAACAAGGGTTGTAACACAAATAAAATATATGTTCTTTCTTCTCTTTTTTATTTTAATTAGAATCATCTATTTTATTTTTTTTTGTAATTGAGAACAATGAATTTTTTCATCTTATGCTTATTAGCCTTATTTTTCACCACCACAAAAGATGTAGATGGTCGTGATACACCATTGCTTGTTTCTCCAACAAATTTATACGATATCAAATTCAGTCCACCACTAATAGTATTCATTTGTATAACTATATCCTTGAGTGCATTTGTCATAATGTATGAACTCTGGACTAATCCTCGTTTTTACTCTGATAAAATTCCATTATCAAACTAGAATGTGTGGTGTGTTTGAAAGGGTTGTAAGATGAACAAATTACACTTTGTCTTATCAAATGATGCAGTCAAGAGATAAACTTGGAGTAGGCCTTAAAAGGTCTAAAGCATGTTCTTAGTAAAGTACAAATTGGTCCAACAATTCGTACGTAACACATGGTTTTATCAATTCAATAAATATATAAATATGTTTAAGTATGTCAAAACTAAGTATATTTCTTGTTAACAAATAATAGGATGAATGAATACTTTGTGGTATATATACATCAATTTAGTTATTAAAATTTATTTTGCAATATAAAATGGAGCAAGGGTAATTAGGTAGATGTAATGAGTCAGTTGATTAAGATATATTTTCTTAAGTACAGCATATTCGACCTCATCAGAGAAGAAAGTCACACCTACTGAATAAATCCAAACAAAAAAGGCTGTGTCTAAATATTTTTTTAAATAACAAAACTGATTAAACTTTGTATTATAGTCTGGTCTAACTTGGTCGAAATATTAAAAAATTGTCTTAATTCTATTGATTTGAATCAAATATTATCTTATTCTTCACTTTGTACTACTTTTTACTTTTTCTTCTCATTATATTTATTTGCTCATTTCATATCTGTTGATAAAAAAAAAAAAAACGAAAAAGACATTGTCTATTATTTTTCTTTTATTATCACATTATTTAATTATTTCAACATAATTTGTTCGTTACGTTTATTATTTTTTTATTTTAATTTATATGATTGATTATTTTCTTTAATTAACCTAAAGAAAATAACACATCTTTATATTGAATAACTCATCATTTCACATTTATATAATAAAGTTTGATTTAAAACGAAATTTAATAATAAAAAATGAAAAAAGTCGAAACTTATTCAGTATAAAATATGTCCTAAATTTTTTGTTGTCGTGTGAACACACCAACCTGCTGAATCCTGAATGTCTGCGACTTCCCTGTTTTGATGACTCGTTTTGGCAGTCTCCATTACCAAATCAGCTAAAAATAGTAATAATACTAGTCTTTGATTGTACTGCAAAGAGCTCCAAAAATGGAAGAATTTCACTAATAGATAAGCTGTATTTTATAATTTTCAACCATGAAGCTGCTACAAACAACTATTCATTTCTTGTTTGTTTTCTACTTATTTTCCATTTTCCAAGTTTCATTAGGGGATACCATCACAACAAGTCAATTTCTCAAAGATGGTGAACCTAATATCACATCATCAGGTGGAAGTTTTCAAATGGGTTTTTTTAGTCCAGGTAATTCGAAAAATCGTTATCTAGGTATATGGTATAGTAACATATCTGTAACTACGGTTGTTTGGGTTGCCAATAGAGAAGCGCCTTTAGCAACAAATTCAGGTACTCTAAAAGTTATCAAACCAGGAATACTTGTTATAGTGAATGATAGTAACCACATCATATGGTCTACCAATACTTCCAGATCTGTGCAAAACCCTGTTGCGAAATTGCTTGATTCTGGAAATCTTGTTGTTATTGATGCTGTTGGTGATGATATTGAAATTGGGGATTTTCTCTGGCAGAGTTTTGATTACCCAACTGATACCCTTTTGCCAGGGATGAAAATTGGGTGGAATTTTGTGACTGGGAAGGAACTGTATCTGTCTTCGTGGAAGAACGAGGAGGATCCAGCTCCGGGTGATTATACGTACCATTGTGATCCTTCTGGTTACTTGCAGAATGTGTTGAAGAAAGGTTCTAAGGAGGTATACAGATCTGGGCCATGGAATGGCTTAAGGTTTAGCGGAGCAACAAATTCAAGACAAAGTCCATTTTATACATTTGGTGTCATCTCAACTAAAAATGAGGTGTATTTTAGTTATCACCTTCTAGCTTCGGTCATTACAAGGTTTTGTTTGAATCCAAATGGTGCGTTACAACGATGGACTTGGGGCGATAGGAATAAAGGTTGGGCACTTTACCTTTCATTACCAACGGATAATTGTGATACTTATAAGTTGTGTGGAGGATATGGTAGTTGTAATAGTTTGAATTCTCCGGTATGTGGATGTTTAGACAAGTTCGAGCCTAAACATGTTGAAGATTGGGGGAAGGCAGATTGGTCTAGTGGTTGTGTTAGGAGGATTGATCTGAATTGCATCAAGGGAGATGGTTTTTTGAAGTATACGAAACTTAAATTACCAGACACGCGGAATTCATGGTTTAATGTGACTATGAACCTTGAAGAATGCCGGAAAGTTTGCTTGAGAAATTGCTCTTGTATGGCTTATTCAAATCTTGACATACGCAATGGAGGAACCGGTTGCTTACTGTGGTTTGAAGATCTACTAGATATTCGACAGCTAGCCAAAGAAGGACAAGATATCTACATTAGAATGGCTGCCTCAGAATTAGGTAACAAGTTTATTGCTGAAAACGTAAAATTAATAGCTTTGAGATTGAAAATAACAATGTAGTCCTGCCTAACAAGCTGATGGAGAAAGTTGAACGGATTACATATATTTGGGTTGAATACTTGCAGCTAGTCAGGTGAAATCAAATGGACACAAAGGAAAATCACTATCCTGGATTATCCCCTTATCGGCTGGAGTGATTTTGG